GTGTGCAAGGTCCTGGGTTCAATTCCCAGTACCAGAAAACAAAACATGAATTCAGAATAGAACACAAAATTACCAGTTTTCACAGCATCCGAATGTAGACAAATGGAAGAAAAGGTACAGACAAGCATAGGGATAAAGCTAATATCCAGTTTTTCAAAAATAGGCAGCCAACCACTACCTTGGTTCAACAGTTACATTAGACACCAGGAAGGATACTCCACAAAACAGAATCCACATGCTGTTTTTTTTACTTTATCCAGACCCATAATTATCTTCTTTATGTCACCACTTTTGCTGAAGAGTTCATAAATTTGTTCTTCAGTTGTGTAAAAAGAAAGATTTCCAACATACAATGTACAGCTTTTCTTCAGTAATTTTTCTTGTTCTTCATTGTCACCCTAGAATTTCAGAGACAAACATTGCAACTTAAAAAAAAAAAAAAGCCTTGCTTAAATAATATTCCTAAGTATGGTTTTTAAAATAATGTCCAAGGCCAATGTGATGGTACATGCCTGTAATTCCAGCTACTGAGTAGGCTGAGGCAGGACGATTGCAAGTTCTAGGCCAGCCTGTGCAACTTAGTGAGACCCTGTCTCAAAAAAGCTGGATTTAGCTCACTGGTAGAGCACTTCTGGGTTCAATTCTCAGCATGAGTTGGGGGAATCATTAATTCTTATTTAGAAATCAGATTCTCACTGGGCACAGTGGCGCACGCTTGTAATCTCAGTGGCTTGGGAGGCTGAAACAGGAGGATCAAAGCCAGCCTCAGCAAAAAGCAAGGCACTAAACAATTCAGTGAGACCCTGTCTCTAAATAAAATACAAAAAAAAAAAATAGGACTGAGGATGTGGCTCAATGGTTGAGTGCCCCTGAGTTAAATCCCCAGTACCCAGGGGAAAAGAAAAAAGAAATCAGATTCTCTCACCCACCAATACTGCAAATACCTTGTCAAAAGGAAGGATGGTGCAGGAGGTATTCACATTCTGTGAAGGACTTACATGAGATCCAGACTGCTTTTAGTAGAGAGAAAAGRCTTTCAGCCTTCCCTCTCTCCTGCCCCAGTAGCATGCCTTTTTTTCTTGCATACTAAAATCCTGAGCACTGGATCCTTCTCTAATGGCCCAAGTCTAAATTCCAGACCTTGACCCATTATATTAGAAAGGTCCCATTTATCCTCTGTAGTAAAAAATAATTATTATTATTTCTAGAGCTAGTATTCCCCTGGTAATATTCCCATAGAGACTATCCAAAACAACAACTGCTTTAATAATTTATATGCTCATGTATTTTTTTCTTCTGAGCGTAGGAGAATTTTTTTTTTTTTTCAGTGCTGGATATTGAACCCCATGGGCACTATACCACTGAAAGACATCCCCAGCCCTTTTCATTTTGAGACAGGCTGGCCTTCAACTTGTAATCCTCCTGCCTCAGCCTCTGAAGTAGCTGGGATTACAGATGTGGACCACCACACCTAGCACTTTCTTAACAGGCTTTCTAATTTGAAGACAGGATGAATCCAGAGACAGAAGTATRAGCTTTAGTCAATACACCTGACAATCCCTGGGGACAAGATGGCTCATCATGAGTGAGACATTGATACTTTAGATGCTGAATTGACACATTGAGGACAAATGTGAGTAAACAGAAGGCCAATCAGTAGACCTATTCTCAGACCCTTCTGATCCAGATTGTTAAGAGCCACAGTTYAGTCGAAATGACGCCTGACATTTTGCTAGAGAGAATGGTTGAAAGGTGACCCTGCTCTGGGATTAGGGTGGCTCCAGGATTAGGGTGGATCCTGCTGCCTTGGGGGCCCGCTACTTTGGAGTTCCCATTGAGTTCTCACTGGGGTTTCGGGAGAATTGGCAAGGAGTCTATATCTTAATTAAAACAACTGTGGTATACTTAAGGTATGATATTAATGTGGATTCCATTTAGGGTACCCTAGATATTCCACATGACAATATACTACATCTAAAATAGTAGACTTTAGATTGTAGAAATGAACCCTTTCAATTTTAATCTTGTAGGATAGATGCTGACACAGATGGTCATGATGTGGAACTAATAAGAACTGTAAAAGTAGCAGAAGTAAAAATCATGCTTGGCACGTTTGGGTGGTGTTTTGTTTTGTAGGGGATGGTTGAACCCAGGGGCACTTAACCAGGGGCCCTTTTTATTTTTTATTTTGAGACAGTGTCTTTGCTAAGTTGCTGAAGCTGCCTCMAACATGGGATCCTCCTGCTTCAGCCTCCCAAATTGGTGGAATCACAGGTGTGCACCACCTCACCCTGCCTGGCACATAGCATTTTAAAACTGAAATATAAGAGTGTCTTCAATTTGGCCTCAAATTCCCGGCACCAGGTACAAACACATTCTACACACCTACCTTCTCTTATATGCACTTCCCTTCCCAGTTGCAAGGGGAATGTCTCCTTTTCTGAATGCTTAAAACCTGTCCCTCCCTACTCCTGATTTCTCCTTTAGATTTTATTTGCCTCCAATTACAATCCCTACAGAGATTTGAGTTCTTAGGATGCAGAAACTGCATTTCCCCCATCCCTCCTGGGGCTCAGAGGAATGCTTTGACAACAGCACCGGGTAAACATTTATGAAATAACTGAGTTGCAGGGTGAGTTGGCGCACACCTGTAGGAGGATCTCAAGTTCGAGGTTAGCCTGGGCAACACAGAGACACCAGCCCCCCCACCTCAAAAAAAAAAAAAAATTAAACAGGGCTGGAGAAGTAGGTCAGTGGTAAAGCACCCCTAGGTCTAATCTCCATTAAATAATTAGGTTGAGTGGCCAGAGCACACAATCCCACCCCCACCTTTACTAATTCAGAAAAGATTACCTGCAGCCCTCTCCCCTTTCCACAGAATGTTGTGACATACCCTAAACTAAATTTCCCTCCTCTGAAATCCAGCAATTATCTGATCTTGATATCCAATTATCAACRTGCTCAGGTTGGCTATCCCCTCTCTCCACTCGGAGGCCTCCATGTCTCCCACCCAAAATGGAGAATTTTGTTGAATAATCGTACTAAAGAAAGAAAAGATTCGGAGCGCCAAAGGGCATTGGTTGATTTTTTTAAAAAATAAATTAAAAAGCCCCGGTATCTGGATAATGCGCCTCCACATACCCTGGGAGTGAATAGGGAACCCCATTCCTGTCATCACAATTTCCCAGGCACAGCCTGTGAAAACAAGCCACCACTCTGCCGCTCCAACCTCTGCACTGGCCCAGGTACAGGCAGCGGCTGCAAGGCAATAGGAAAGCGAGTCTGATATTCCCTTTCTATCAAAGTGGCTTCAGTGAAACCCAAACGCCCTTCAGGCATCCAACCCCTGCTTCCCAGCAGGCACTAGGACCCCACTTCACTTTTCAGGATACCAAGCAGAATGCAAGACGACACAATGAGACAAGCGCAAACCGTTCCTCAGCGTTCTGGCCCAGGGCTTGACCCTCTCGCGGCCCGGCTCTCCTCACCCGGAAGTGCTGGTCCCGGTACTGGCTCAGCTCCACGTAGGAGTCGCTGCGCAGSGCCTTCAGGAGGCCACCCGACATAGTGCAGAGAGGTCGACAAGGACGCGTAACTCAGGGATCAACCGGAGAGCCGCGGCTCTGGCGGAAGCGGAAGCGCGCGGAGGGCAGCAGAAAGTGGAAGTCGTCGGATCCAATCCCAGCGCTGCAGTGTCGTCATCACTCGGGCGCACACGTGGTCCGTTGTCTGAGGCGGCCGATCGGAAGGCGAGAACGGCGTGTTCCCGGTTCCGGGGTGCTCAGAAAAGGATGGTTCTCCGGCGTCTGTTGGCTGCTCTGCTGCACAGCCCTCAGTTGGTGGAACGTCTGTCTGAGTCGCGGCCCATCCGGCGTGCGGCCCAGCTCACGGCTTTCGCACTGCTGCAAGCGCAGCTGCGCGGCCAGGACGCGGCCCGCCGCCTACGGAAAGTCGCTGCCGAGCCCGTGAGCTCCCTAGGCCGCCGCGTTGCGCGATTCAGAGACACTTTCACCCAGGAGCTACGTCGCGGTCTCCGGGACCGCCCGCGGCCACCGCCAGATAACCATAGGGGCCCCGGGGCAAACTCGTAAGCTTGGACTGGGATGGTCCGAGGTCGCCTACTTTCCCATTTGTGCGGTACACCGACCTTGGCGTTAAGCAGTCCTCCCAGGCCCTGCTCACAGCTTCGAATCCTGATTCAGATTATCGACCTTCAGACGTCCGGCTCTTAAGAGCTCTGGCCAAACCGACATCTTCGTCGAAATCTCGTGATTGAGCAGGGTACAATGTGGAGAAAGCTTTTAAAGACTCACAGGTAGGCTGGACCCAGGTATAACATAGCCATGGACACACATCCAGAAAGAGCGCCTGTCCTCTGCAAATGGAACTAGAATTCTTGGTAGATGCTGCTGCGTTGCGGCTGCACCGGTACAGCCAGGTACTAATTCCAGAGAAGATCGTGGATTGAAAGACAACCTTGTAGCTGCCAAATTCTCTGATTAAATGTGTGAGCTGATTAAAAGGCATGAGTGGGTACTTCTCTGACAAGATAGATTGGGAATTCTGGGGATTGTAGGCTCATGGTAATATGGYTAACACATTGAATGCTATTCTGTGCTGGCACTTGCTAATTGCATTCTGTGATTTATCTAACTCCTTACAAGCACATTCATAATGAGGAAATGGGGGCCACTTCTCAAGTCCCCAAAGCCTGGCAGAATGGGGTGTCAGCATAGGCATTTGACAACAGGCACCTATGTCCTTAATCACAGCTCTCTGCAGCATTTACCTTACTTCTTAGGAATTGCCTTCTTCAGTACCATCAGGCATGAATATACTGACTCTCCTGTGGGAAATGCTGTCACTTTGAGGCTTCAAGCAAAATTTCTGATCATGTCTACTTAAGCTACACAGTTAATCATGCAACCTAGAAAGTTTGAAGCCATAGGAAAAGTTTTAGACTGGTTACAGATACTGATAAAGCATTGTGTGTTCTCAGTTCCCATTGGGGCAGACTGAGAGGGCCTCAAATACAGAATAGTGGGAGAATAATTTGTGGGTGTGCTGGGAATTGAACCCAGGGCCTCCAGCCTGCTAAACAGTCACTGTATCACTAAGCTATGCCTGCAGCTTCTGGGAGAATGATTCTTAAGGGTAAGATATAGAAATGGCTGGAGAGTTTCCCACCACCTCTCAAGGACAGAAGTAGAAGACAGTGCTGGAAAATTTTTCCAGAATGACTTGTTTTGGTAATGACCAAACATTGAGAGAGCAGACACAAAGTGCCATTAAATACAATACCATTCCATGTTCAAAGAGCTTTGTGAGAAACATGCCTGTTGATCCAGGGGACATGTGCTGTGGGTTCCAAGAATGATATTATCTGACAGACATCTCAGGGATTCTCTTATCTGTACAGATTGGGAAATGGCTGGATGAATAGAAGGGGCCTTCTCAAAAGTCATTGAGTAGCAGACCAGGAACTAGAACTTGGATCCCTGAATCTGAGCCACTTATTCTCTCCTTCACCATAATCTCTCATGTGTCTGCAAGGCCTCAACATGCCAGTCCTTAGGATACCAAAGAGGTAAAGCATTGTGGCAAGTTTGGGAGAGGTCATTCAGGAACATCATTAGCAGTGCATTGTCTTTTCACAATCAGGTACTATTGTATATTTAAAACATTACAGTGGCTGGAAGGCATAGGGCAGGAACAGACATTAGGTGCCATTGATTATACCAGGATTATTGGGACCTTGGCAGCAGAACCGTGACTGGTCAGATCTTTGGTGTCTGAAGGAAAAGGGAATGGGCTTACCCAGAGGGCAGAACAACCAATGGCTGTGCCCAGAAGAGGCAGCAGTGGGGATCCTGAAGGAGGACCAGGGCCCCATGGCAATGTCACAGCCCAGCTGCCTTCATACAAGGTGGAGTAGCATAGATTCTATAGCTGAATCTTGGGCAGTGGCTGCTCCAGTTCCATGATGTGAAGACTAAGGTGGTCCCTCCAAGCCCCACTCAGCAGAGAGGACAGGACTGGTGGGTCCTCCAGGGTCAGGTGGGGAAACATGAGTGTCTCATTCTTGAGGGGAAAGCTGCATTTCTCCACGGTATGCCTGGTTGTCCCAGGGGTCACCACAAAGAGRCGGCAGAGCCATGGCCCACCAGCCACCTGGCAAGCTGGTTGTCTGGTAAGGTTGTTAAGTGCTTGGCAAAGTACCCAGTCCTCATTTCCACCCATGTCCACCACCTCTACAGATGACTCCAGGCCTGGGAGGTGGAGGAGGTGCTGGGGGGGCATGTAGGTATGAGTAAAAAGGAGTGTGTAGTGGGTCGGCATGCCTGGGAGCACAGGTGCATGGACCACCTGCTCCAGGTATTTTAAGCCAGGTACCATGCCTCCCTGATGCAGGCAGCCAAAGAAGAGGGCACCTAGAGCATTAAAGAGGACCAGGGTCCCCTTCCAAGGCACAGGTTGGGTTTGTGGACTACAAAGCAAGACTAGGGGGACCAGGAGGGGAATCAGGAATCGAGCCTCCTGGTGGCTAAAAGCAGACAGCAGGGCCAGGGGTGTGAAGTAGAGGAGAAGGAGGTAAGATCTGGGACTGGACAGCAGGCTCTGGGCCCGTAAGGCCCTCTGGAGGCCCATTTGTGCAAATGCCTGGAGGCTGACTTGCAACTGTTGCCAAGCAGCCTGTAGTGCCTGGGCATGTAGCACCCCAAAGAGCAGGAAGCCATTGACTACTAGGTGAGTGAGTCGCACATGTGTGCCATGCCTTGCAAGGTTTTGGGGATCCAGATTGTACTGTAAAAAGTTGACAGGTGTAAGGACAAGGCTACTGGATCTTGAAATGCTGGAATAGTACCAGCTGTCCATGGCCACAAATACTACTGTAGTGAGTGCTGCCCCAGGGAGCAGCACCAGAGCTTCCCAGATCAGGGACTTGAAGCCAGGGTCCTTGACTCCACGAGTGCCCCAGACGAAGAGGGGGATCAGAGCAAAGGCCAGAAAGGTGGGCCGGTTGAAGAAGCCAGCAGCCACGATGGCCCCAAGAAGCCAGTTGTACCACCATGGACATGAGGTAGGCTTCTTGGGTGTGGGGCTCCATGCCACATGAGGGGACACCAGCACCAGCAGCCATGTGAAGAGCAGTCCCTCGATGGTGTTKGAGAAGGTCCTTGTGTAGAAAACCAGGGTGACGTAGGAACCAGACAGCAGGGCCAGGGCGTTCCAGCGATCTGCCCCCCACTGTGGGGCCAGGTGGTACACAGCCCCATCCAGGGCAAAGGAGAGGGTGGTGAGGAGGAGTCGGGGCCCTACCAGCAGCACATAGCCACTCATCAGGCCAGGCCACAGTCCCAACTCTTCCCAGAGCCTGAGCAACCAGAAGGCAGAGCCAGAGGTCAGCAGTGGGAAGACCACCGTGCGGCAGGAGCTGCTGGGGTAAAACTCCCAGGGCCGTGAAGCCTGCACGCCCAGGATGTCCTCTGCAGAGAAAGAGGCGGAGGTGAGCCAGTTTCCAGCTCTGGGCAGAATTCTAGGATGGCACCCTAAACTCCCCACCCTCTAGTGGACATTTCTTTACTCCTTGGACTAGTACAGTGTAGATTTTACTCCTGTGGTTAGGTTAGGTTAGGTTAGGTTTTATGGGAGTACTGACTGAAACAGGAGACTATTGGATGGGCCTGACCTCATCACAGCAGCCCTTTAATAGCAAAGAATTTTCTACAGCTGAATGCAGAAGAAGCAAGCAGAGATTCAAAGCATTGATATGCCCCTACTGGCTTAAAGAAGGAAGGGGCTGTTAGCAAGGAGGGTGGGCAGCCTCCAGAAATTAAGAGCAAGGGACTACAGTCCCATAATTGAAGTGAATTAAATTCTRTCAACAAGAATGAGCTTGGAAGCAGATATTTCCTCAGAGCTTCCAGACAAGAACTCAGTCCAAAAGCATGATACACTACGATCTCAGTCACACAAAATGGGATATTGTGTATATACGCACACAACCTAGAGGGACACATCCAACTAAGCTGCTTGTGACTGGATGACTTTGTTCTTTGCTTGTGTTTTTATTTTTCCTGTAATGTTCAATTAACTTTTTTAAAAAATAAAAATCTATTTTAAAAACCTGAAGAAAAAAAAAAAGAACTCAATCCAGTCCTTACCATGATTTCAACCTTGTGACACCCTGAGCAAAGATCCCAATGCGGACTTCTGATCTACAAAACTGCAAACTAATAATTTAATTTCAAACTGTAATTTTAAACTGCTAGGTTTGTGATGGCTTGTCATAAAGCAGTAGAAATTAATATAGAGGAACTCAAGGTGGTTGAGGCCACACTCTGTTGGAGACAAAGGGAACAGTACTTGGGAGATGAGGTGACAGTGTACCCTGCAAGGGTGTGGTAGGGAGCAGGGGAGACTTCATTCCTTTTTTGATATTTCTAGGATCAGAACTCATCTCTAAGAAAGATTTTTGTCAGGAAAAGAGGTTGTGAGCGTAGGGACAGAGAACAAACAATAAGGGTTATGGACAAATATAATCTTAGTTTTGTTTATGATACTTAAATTTTTACAAGAAAAAGGAATTCAAGCAGTATTTATATAATTTCAAAAATACTTGCTGCTTGAGGTTGATCTGTGACCCTGTTCCCCAGTGTTCCATAGCTCATTGTTTTGGGTAAGGGAACAAATTTTAATTTCTGCATCTCCAGTCCAAACCCCACTGTCCATAGCATTTCATGCTTGATAACCTTGCTGGCTGTTAGAGCTGATTATATGGCCTGAGGATCATTCAGGCTCTTTGCTTCTGCTACTTATTCCTCCAGTCTTTTGGCCATTTGATCTATATCAGAAGGTGAAAGGGAAACAGAAAATCTAGCGTCAAGTCAATCCAGCTGCTGTATACAATTCAGGTTTAAAAAAACACTTAGGACATAAGACCAAAATTTTCAATTTAAAATCCAAATCTACCTACTGATTCATGTGGCAGAGATAGCAAATCCCCCTTCCTGTCTTAGTGTCTTTAGCTGAACGCTTAATCAGATACAAAAACTTTGTTTCCTAGCTTCCTTTGCAACTAAGTGAAGTGTCTGACCAGTGGGATGGAAATGGACAAAAAGCACATGATTTACCAAATGTGACCTTAAAGGGAGTAGGCATGTCCATTTCCTGTTTTCTAGAAAGACAGTTTTAGACTTGAAAGCTACCATCTTGAACGACGAGGAGGAAGTCACACACTGATAGCATCCAAAAGTCCTCATAGATCTTGGTAACCATCCTCTTGATATACCTTTCACCACCTAGTAGATTTTGGTTTTGTTTGTTTTCTGYAGTGCTGGGATTGAACTCAGGGCTTCACACATACTAGGCAAGTGCTCTACCACTGAGCTACATCCCCAGCCCCTAGTGGATAAGTTCTAACAAGTGAGTATCCTATGTCTGCGTTCCCTCTCTCCTTCCTTGAACTACAGTGGGAAAATTTTCATATTCTCAGATCACAACTCTGTGTAAGCTTCCCCAGATACTGGGAAAGCCCAACTCTCATCCTTCCGTTAAGGAGTCCATCATAGCTTTCATTCTGAATGACCTGTTGGTCCAAGCAGAAAAACATCAAAGAGGCTGGTTGGTGTTTCATCAGTATCATCCAGAAGGTCAGTGTTGCCACTCAGGAAGAAGAGTCCCCACTCCCAAGCTGTTGTCCCAGAGAGGCTAAAACAGCTTTGCTTGTGGAGTTACTGCTCTTCTGTACAGACATGCTTTCCCTCCCCAACTAAATAGCCAATCAGCCTCTCAGCCACTCAGCTGCTGCTTGTCTTAACCACATGAGAACTTTACCTGCCATGACTTCTGGTGACTGGAAGAACTCATCCGGGTGCACGTAGCCCGTCTGTGGAAGAAGACACCATAGCACTCGCAGCAGGCTGAGGCTGCTCCAAATCACCCAAACTGCCATCTTCAGATCAAACTGTTGCCARACACTGGACCAAGATCCTGCAATGACTTCCCAGCTGCAACAGGTGCTACTTGGATCCACAGGTTCGTGTCTGCTGAGGATAACATTTATTATTATAATGTAAATTWTAATATGTTAAACTGTCTGAACAAACTAAAAATGGAGCTATATGAACAAAAATAATGATCATGACAGTAGCTGCTTTTCCTACGTGATCACTAAGTACCAGGCACTTGACATACATATCTTATTTAATCCTTTCCACAGTCTAGGGCAATGGCTCTTTTTATACTTCGCTTATAGACATGGGAATTGAGGCCTCTGTTGAGTAACCTGTTTGTTAATTATATTTGCTAAGGATCTATAATGGTTAGTTTTAATGAAATAACTTTACTGGGCTAAGAGATACCCAGATAAATAGCTGGTAACACATTGTTTCTGGAAATGTCTATGAAAGTGTTTCAGGAAGAGATTAGCATTTGAATGGGAGTAAAGAAGATAGCCCTGGCCAGTGTGGGTGGGCACCCTCCAGTCCACCAAGGGCCTGAACTGAAGAAAAGGTGGAGTACCAGTGGATTTACTCTCTTCTTGAACTGGGACATCCATATTTTCCTGCCCTCAAACATAAGAGCCCCTGCTTCTTGGCCCACTGAAGTTCTGGAACTTAACACTACCATCTCCATCCCCTCTTGGACCCAGATCCTCAAGCCTTTGGGCTAGGTCTGGGAGTTGTAACATACGCTCCTCTTGTTCTCAGGCTTTGGACTGGGACAGACTATTGGTTTTCCYATTCTCCAGACTTTTAGTCTCAATTGTGAGCTAAATTATAATAAATAATKAAGTCAATTCTCTATTGGTCCTGTTTCTCTGGAGAGCCCTGATTAATACAGTGTCTCAAAATGACATTCACAAGTAGGACTAGGGTACTCCACAAATCTGGGTCTCACAGCACCATCCTGATCACCAGTTCCTATCCATAGGCCAGCATGGCCCTGTTTTCTGCAGTTCTGAAAACTTGGGAACCTCAATGGATTACACATATTTCCCCGTAAAAATTAACTACACTCGACCCCAAGGTCTACAGCAACTCCTGCCGAATTTCACACGCTCTGGAACCTGCCTTTTGAAAGGTAATGGGAGCTGACATAATTGCCCATAAAGAAAATTCTGAGTCCCTCAACTCAAAAATCAGCGAGAATCTGAGCCCACTGCATGATGGACCTATATATCAGAAACATTTATTTATTTGTTTATTTATTTATTTTTTGGTACTGGGGATTGAACCCAGGAATGCTTAACCATTGAGCCACATCCCAACCCTTTTTATATTTTATTTAGAGTCAGAGTCTCGCTGGGTTGCTTAGGACCTCTCTAAGTTGCTGAGGCCAGTTCAAACTCACAGTCCCCCTGCCTTAGCCTCCCTAGCCACTGGGRTTACAGGTGTAAGCCACCACACCCACCTGTCAGAAACATTTCTGGCAAACAGAAATGGAAGAATGAAAAACAGATGTGACAATCTGTTTTTCATTCTTCCAGAAATGGTGGYTTTGCTCTATTGTCCTAACTTTGATATTTTAAAGCCTGACCTTAAATATCTTTTGCTCTTGGGTGTGATGTTGTATCAGAGGAGACAAGATGGACTAAAGAAACAGCAGAACCCAGCAGATGTTGGCAGCAAGGAGTCTCTTTTTCTTTTGTTCTCTCTGTGTGTATGTGTGGTACTGGGGATTGAATCCAGGGCTTGCACAAGCTAAGCAAGTACTCTACCACTGAGCTACATATCTCTATCCTTTTTATTTTTTATATTCAGATAGGGTCTTGCTAATGTGCCCAGGCTGGGCTCAAATTTGCAGTCCTTCTACCTCTGCCTCCCTAGCTGCTGGGTTGACAGGAATGTACCACCACACCCAGCCTGGATTGATTTTTTTTTTTTTTTAGTTGTAGATGGACACAATTTCTTTCCTTCCTTCCTTCCTTCCTTCCTTCCTTCCTTCCTTCCTTCCTTCCTTCCTTCCTTCCTTCCTTCCCTCCTTCCTTCCTTTCTTGCTGAGGATTTAACCCAGTGCCTCACACTTGCTGGGCAAGCGCTCTACCACTGAGCCACAACCCCAGCTCCTGTATTGAATTTTTTTCTATTCTTTTCTGTCTCTTTCAGTTTGAAAGTTATATCCTTGACTTCCATCATGTTATAACATGTAGCATATTATTTAATGTTTTAATATTTAATATATTTCATATTATTATTTTACTGTAATGATTCTGGATGCACATTTCTTTTTACTTAGCATAGATTAAATTTTTTGACTTCTCAAACCTGTGGATTATAGAAGTAATATTCTATTAGTTTACAGAAAGTTATTTATAGAAAGTAATACTCCATTAGTTCTTTGAATGTTGTCTTTTCCCCTTATTTACTCACCCCATAGAATTAGGACTAAATATTTAAGAGAACTTCTCATTCTATCTTCCATGTCCTTTTACTTCTGTATTATATTTTCCAAACTTTATCTCATTGGGCTGTATTTTGGGCAAGTTCTGTTTCTGTCTTCCACATCTGCAATCATCCCTTTAGCTGTATCTAATCATTTTTTAAACCTATCTGTTGAGTTTTACATTTCAATTATATTTTTCTTTTCTATAAGTTGTTTGATATTTTCCATGTCTGCTTATTCTTTTGTCATATTTTCAAAGCTTAATTTTATTTATTAAATTATATCAAACATACTTATTTGGTATAATATGTCTAATAATTCTAGCATATAAAGTCTGGGTCTGAACCTGTTTTTTTTTTTATTTCTATTGGTCCCCACTCACAATGTTCATTTATTGTATATTTATTGAATTATTTTATTTGGGGGCTGCTCATTTCTTCAGAACATTGCCTTGGAATTCTTTGAGGGCAGGGATGCTTGCTTCTGTCAGGTACATGTAGGCATTACAAGAGCAGGACTATTTTTAATCAAATCATTGACTCCAAAGTTTTTTGGTTATTCTTTTGGGAGGAGAATGGGGCCTAGTGTGTAAATGGAGACTGAAACTTGTAAGAGAGTAGGCCTGTGGTTACAATTTTTTTAAGTGGGAACTCCCAGACCCACCTTAATTTAATTAGCATCAGGATCCAAGAAAGGCAGTTTTCCTTGGAGATCTATGACATGAAAGAGCTTATTTCTAGGTCACCTTTACACTGAGACTAGCCCTGTAGAGTTTTTGCTTTGGGGGCATTTCCTGTTAGTCTTCCCTCTTGGTGGGCCCTAGGCTTTATCTTCTATCCTGCTAGTCCTGAGAAGCTGAAGAATTTGGTGCTGAGATTCACCAGCCCTGCACATGTCCTCCAGTCCACATCTGGCTTTGTACTTTGTGTGCCTCCCTGTCCTCCCTTTGTGCCTAAATATTGCTTTACTTTTTTACTCAGCTTGCATATTATTTTATTAAGCAGTTTAGGGTTTTTTCCAGCAATTTATTTCTATTATAAATCAAGGATAACCCTCCACTTCTGTCCTCTTAGCAACCTTAATTGCATTTTTCTATTTATAAAAATATGTGATTGTTGTAGAAGAAAGGATAAGAAAAAAAGAGGAAATAAATATATGTAAACATATATATTTTTTATTTTAAAACATATATATATATATGTGTGTGTGTGTGTGTATGTTTTATTTTTGTAGTGGGGATTGAACTCAAGGGTGCTTTACCACTGAGCCACATCCCCCAGCCCTTTTTACTTTTTATTTCTGAGACAGGATCTCACTAAGTTGCTTAGGGCTTTGATAAGTTGCTGAGGCTGGCCCCAAACTTGTGGTCCTCCTGCCTCAGCCTCTGGAGTCACTGGGATTATATGAGTATG